CTTCCGTAGTGATACTGCCTCGGAAACCCAAGGAGGGGTCGCTATGAGTCGGGGCCGACTCAACGGCACATAACAACAACATGTATAGAATATTTCTGGAAGGATAAGAAAGACACCGGTAACAGTGAGTATGTCCTGTGAAGGGAAAATATGCTAAGGGTCAGGGGTAGGAGGGAGACTGACTTTCTTATTTTGTACCATATGTATATACTTCTGTTTTTGAAATGTTTTTTCCAAGGTAGCAACTGCTAAATAGTCTTGTGTAACGTCTAGAAGAAGCCATTAGACATCAAAGAATGGACATTGTCTCTTGAGATTACACAAACTTGAGAAGGTTAGGTAGACTGTTTATGATCAAGTACAAAATGTCTGCTTAAATCCCATCTTTAGGACTCAAGACTTGGACACTGTGAATGGTCTAGACTTAGCTTTTCTCAGATGCCTACCACAATTCCCCACATACAAAGTTAAGCATTCAAGCTTCTGGGCTCCTAAGACATCCTCTGTGTAGCATTCATTCCTTTGCTCAATTGATGAATATTTTCTGAAATCCTACTCTATGCCAGGACCTATGGCAGAATCTGGAGAACAAGAATTAAATCAGACCATTCTGCTGTGATGAGCTAACAGTCAAGTAGAGGAGACAGACTAGTAATAAAGTCTGTTCAGAAGGACTATATGGTCCAAAGGAGGGGGTGAGTGACCATCTAGAGGGACCAGAAGAACACAGGATCTGAAGGCCCATAGTAATTCTATTTACTGAAGGCCTACTGTGTGCCAGGCAGTGTGCTGGGTAATTTGTAAACATTATGTTTAATCCTCATAGTAACCTTGTCAGACCCAATTTACAGATGCGCACATCAAGGCTCCAATTAATGAAAGGTTAATTAAAATGATAAAACTATCAGTTATTGAGTGCTTACCATGTGCTAAGAGTAATAAATGCAATGTGTCATTTAACTCTCATAGCATTCCTAAAAGGTGGATATTAATTTTACAGATGAAGAAACTGAGACACAATGAGACTACTTAATTTGTGCAAGCTTAAATGGCTAACAAGTGGCAGAATCTAGACTAGAATCCAAGACTGTCCAAGTTGTGAAATCACACACCATCCGTCTTTCTGGTTTCAAGGCCCAGGCTCTATCCACTGTACCGTGCTGCCTCTCTTCAGCTTTATCTAGCAAGCTGAGCATTAGAAATACATGTCCTTTTGCACATCAAAACAGTCTCCAAAGCTTTTATTATTATTATTATTTATTTTTTTAATTGTGATTTGGGTAAAAGTGTACAGAGCAAATTCACTTTCTATACAGCATTCACATACACTCTGTCTCATGACATTGACTACAATTTACCACAATGCAACAGCTCCCCTCCCACTTCCTTCCTATAGTTACCTCTTCCCTGTGTCCTTCCCTCCATGTATTCCTGCCCCCTGAGCTGTGTCTCTGTGCATACACAGACCTTCTATTCTCCCATGATTGTTCTCTTCAAGGAATGTATCTAGCTAGTGTAAATGTTCACCTCATATGCCTGTCTTTTGTTTGGCTGGAAGCCACTGGTGTGGGTTCAGTTCCAGACCTGAAGGGGCCATAGTCTCCGTGGTTCCATCAGGCTCTATCAGACCAGCAAACCTGGTCCCTTTTTCCCAAATGATTTTGAGTTTTGTTCCACCTTGTTCTCCCACTCTATCCAGGATCTCCTACATAGATCTCCCTCTGAGTGGTTGATAGTGGTAGCCAGACACCATCTAGCTCTTCTGGTCTCATAGTTGTATAGGCTGAGGATCGCATGGTGTACCAGTCACTTGGACTAATTTTTTCCATGAGTCTTTGGTTTTCTTCATTCTTCTTTGCTCTGGACGAGGAGAGACCCATCGTTGCATCTAGATTGCTGCTTGCAAGTTCTTAAGATCCCAGTTGCTACTCACCAAAGTAGGAGGTGGAACGATGTTTTGTGTCGTATGTTATACCAATTATGCTTGATGCCCCCAGTGACTATGGTCCCAAGCCCACAGGTCTAACTACTCGCTCCCTCTGGGAAGTTGGCTGTAGCCAAGAAGTGACTACAACCTTGTCTCTTGTCAGCTCTACTATACAGCTGGGAATTCTTACAGAATATAGCAATACCCTTATAGAAACACTGTCTGCCAACCCTATACATGATCTTGGACACACTTCCCACTGCACAGACATACCTAATAGTTCATCCTGTCCACCTATCTATCCACCCCTATATCCATGTTTGCCTTCACTGACAATGCAGTACTGTATGTGTAAAAGGATTCATCTTTGTTGTCTGTACCTCCGATGTACCTCTCTCTGTCTTTCTCTTCCTCAATGCCACTGTGTTGATCACTCACGTTTGGTACATTGCCCTTCTCTTCACCCAAATTAATACTTGTCTCTACCTATCTAACAGTGTTCCTTCCCCTCTCCTCCCACCCCAAAGAAACCAACAAAGAAAATATCCTTTCATATATAAACCTTTCATTGACTTTTTACAATAACGGACTAATACAATATTTGTCCTTCTGTGATTGACTTATTTCACTCAGCATAATGTCCTCCAAGTTCATCTGTGTTGTGCAGTGTTTTGCAGATTCTACATTATTCTTTAGGGTTGTATAGTATTTCATCATGTGTATGTACCATAGTTTGGTTATCCATTCCTCAGTTGATGGACACCTAGGTTGTTTCTATCTTTTGGCTATTGTAAATAGTGCTGCGATGAACATGGGTGTGCATGTCTGTTCTTGTCCTAGCTCTCACTTCTTTAAAATATATACCTAGTTACGGAATGGCTGGGTCAAATGGTATATCTAAATCCAACTTTTTAAGGAATCACTAAACTGCTTTCTATAGTGGTAGTATCATTTTACAGTCCCACCAGCAGTGTATGAGAGTGCCAATCTCTCCACATCCTGGCCAGCATTTGTTATTTTCTGTCTTGTGGAACTTTGCTACTAGTGCTAGGGCAAGATGGTATCTCACTGTTGTTTTGCTTTGCATCTCTCTAATGGTTAACGATCGTGAGCATTTCTTCATATGTTTGTTGGCCACCTGAATATCCTCTTTGGTGAAGTGTCTATTCATGTCTTCTGCCCATTTTTGAATTGGATTGTTTGTCTTTTTGTTATTGAGGTGTTGGAGTTTTCTATAAATTCTAGAGATAAATCCCTTGTCTGATATGTCATTGCCGAATATTTTTTCCCCCAATCTATAGGATCTCTTTTGACTCTTTTGGAGAAGTCTTTGGAAGCCCATAAAAATCTAATTGTTAGAAGGTCTCATTCATCTAGTTTATCTTCTGCTATTTGTGCATTTTGGGTTATGCTTGATAGTCTTTTTATACCATATATTAGGGCCCCTAAATTTGCTCCTAGTTTTTCCTTGAGGAACTTTATAGTTTTAGGTTTCTCATTTAAGTCTTTAATCCATCTGGAGTTCGTTTTTGTGTATGGTGTGAGGTACAGATCTTGTTTCATTTTTCTGCAAATGGATTTCAAGTTTTCCCAGCACCATTTATTAAACAAACATTCTCTTCACCATTTAATGGATTTCAGCTCTTTGTCAAAGATCAGCTGACCATAGGTTGATGGATCTATTTCTGGGTTCTCAATTCTATTCCATTGGTCTATGTGTCTGTCATTATACCAATACCAGGCAGTTTTGACCTACTTCCATAGTGATACTGCCTCGGAAACCCAAGGAGGGGTCGCTATGAGTCAGGGCTGACTCGACGGCACATAACAACAACAACAACAACAGCTGTATAGTAGGTTTTGAGATCTGGCAGGGTGAGACCTCCTACTCTGTTCTTCTTCTTCAATAGTGCTTTGCTTATCTGAGGTCTCTTTCCTTTCCATATAAAGTTAGTGATTGGTTCTTCCAGATCCTTAAAGAAT